TGTACGTAAAAGTAGAAAAAATGATGGAATTCCTTCAACAACTTACCAGTATAGTAAGGAAGACAGTAAAAATGGTATACGCATTAATCTGAGGCAACCTCTCTGCTTTATGAGTATTCCATTTTTCCTGCCGGCCGATGGCCCAAGAACGTCAGGGGACGTAGAAGTTGGAATAGAGATGAAACAAAGCATATTATTTTCCAAGCCTGTCCTAAAGTACCACAATTTTCTAGTCGAAAAATGTCGACAATGCACTATTTTGCGCAAGAAATAACTAGATAGGAGATAACACATCGTGAAGTCGCTTCTTGAATGAATGAAGTGATCTTCACATGTCCAGGGTATTTCAAAAAAAGATGAGCCATCTCTAGCTGGGATATTCATCACGTCAAATAAGATTGATTTTTTTTTGTTTTTGCTACAGGGGGTTTAAGTCTTAATATTTTTTCGATTTATTAAAAGCATTTTTTTTGCGAATAATTTGGTACCACACCCTTGGTATTTCGAATCAAATTGTCGTTATGAACCGCATGTTACAATATCAAATAAACCATATGTGAAAATGTCAAAAGTTGACATATGATATGTCATTCTATTCAGAGTGTCATTCTCTATCGAATAAAGTAAAAATATACCGGGAGTGCCATTTAAAAATCAAAAGTTGTAGTCATTTCCGGTGAAACAGGAGGTAACCAAACACAATTGAATATGTCATTCAGTCCTAATTTATGTCATATACTAACGTACCAAATCTCGCTTTTTATCTGAAAAAATAAAGAAAGTTATAGCTATACAGGGTGCTACAAATTCGAGGTACGAGCATTGGTATCTCGGTAACCGTAATAGATACGAACATGGTTTAAATTGGGGCAAAGTTGCGCTTTAGGATGTTCACCAAGATACCACCAAAAAAGTTTTAAAAATTTTAAGGATTGCTGAGTTTTTTGAAAAAAACGGATTTTTTTGAAAACCAATTTTATTTTTTGCTGTCGTTACTTTTTAGAAAATCAAAAAACTAATTGCACATTCTCACAGCCACTTTATTAGAGCTATCTGATGGTATTTTTAGATTTTCAAATTAGTTGATAATTTGTGAGATACAGAGGCCAACTTAATTTTTTTAAATACGGACCTGCATTTTTTATTTCAGGTTTTGAAAGAACTCGGTCTCCTGAGTACAATAGTATGCCACACTTGATACTTTTTTTTTGGTTTGGTTACCTTAACAATAACAAAACTATTTATATTATTTAGATTATATTCATCACAACAATATTGATCAGCGCTAATTAATATTGAATAAGGAAAATCAATAAAAATTGTTTTGGACATTTGAAATCAATACATTTCAACATTAAGAGTACAAAAACAATTAACGAGTATTAAAAAAAAAACAATTAAAGAGTACAAAATGCATTCGGAAGTATTAGAAGATCATCTCTTCAAAGAGCTATAAATAAGATTGAACGAAAGACAAATGTGTGCATTATGGAGGGTGGTAACTCTTTCGAACATGCAGAGCATTAGAAACTAGTTTGCAGAAGTTGATCTATTTATAATAACAACGATTAATATTATGCATATTATTAGATCTTACACTGAGATTTCAAATTCACAATAAAAAAAGTTAAAAATAATAGATATCTTTAAATTGCTGACCTGGATATTAATTATTTGAATCTTTCAATTGGCGTGATTTTCCTTATTCAATGTTAATTAGCGCTGATCAATATTGGTGTGCTAAATATAATCAGATTAAATAAATTAAAAAACCTGAGTCGGACTTCAAATTATTTTAAATAACAGTTAAATAGTTTTGTTACTGTTAAGGTATCCAAAACAAAAAAAAAAGTATCAAGTGTCGCATATCATTGTACTCAGGAGACCGAGTTCTTTCAAAACCTGAAAGAAAAAATGCAGGTCCGTATTTTAAAAAAATAAGTTGGCCTCTGTATCTCACAAATTATCAGCTAATTTGAAAATCTAAAAATACCATCAGATAGCTCTAATAAAGTGGCTATGAGAATGTGTAATTAGTTTTTAGATTTTCTAAAAAGTAACGGCAGGAAAAAATAAAATTGTTTTTTTCCAGAAAACTCATCAATCCTTGGAATTTTTAAAACTTTTTTGATGGCATCTTGGTGAACATGTAAAGGAGCAACTTTGCCCCAATTTAACTATCTTCGTATCTATTACGGTTTCCGAGATACCAACGCTCGTACCTCGAATTTGTAGCACCCTGTATAGTTATCAACCCTATTTGAGCCACTTTTGAGACACACCAGGTATAATAATTAGCTTATAAAACGAAAAACAATAAACTTTTTATTTCTAACTAAAATTTCTTTTGGCGGATGATAATAAAAGGCCAAAATGAACTCGAAATTTTTAAAGTACAATTAGTGAAACAAACTTGTTTTAACGTTTAACTAAACGTGTGTAAAAAATTATACCGTATGATCGAATAAAAATAGCGTCAGCGATGGCTATGAAAGGAAGATCGCTGTCATTTGTAATTTATAAGTAAAATTATATGGGAAATGTCATCGATCTTCATTTCATAGCCATCGCTGACGCCGTTTTTATTCGATCATACGGTACTACCACTAATGTTGACGTTCTAGATACTGATATTGAAATTAGAGGAATAAACTTCTAGGTTAATTGAAATCACTAATTTATTTCACATATTTCGTTCTGAATGAAGTTAATAGGATACTTTTTACTTTGCCAATTTTAAAGCAAAAACTAAAGCCAAAATCAAAACTTGGCCTAAATCAAATACTAAAGAAATTTGTAACTATATCATATATCGATATTTTTCTCTCGCGCTGGACATCCCTAACCGCGCCCATCCCCGTCCGAAAAGCGGGCACGAACCGAGAGAGCGAAATTTGTATGCAATCGGAAAACCGGGGGACGCTATTAAACTGCACATAATAGTAATACGGTTGAAAGCCCTCTAAAGCGGCCGACAAAAGCCGTAGAGATATATAAAATGACAATCGCAGAAACGTGTATCCTTGAATTTGTCGCGATACGAAGCCAGAGCGGAAATTCCCTTGATCTCCGCTGGAAATTATCTGGCGTGCCCACGGATCGCTCCCCGGGATACGGCCGCCTTAAACGCTAATTCCCAGAAGAATATCGGCCGTTTGTTTTGCGCGAGTCGTCTGTCTTTTCGATAAAGGAGAGGAAAAAACGGGCAGATTTCGAAATCCATATCTGTGAAATATCGAGTGTTATTTGCATTGACATTCCGTTCATTGCCTTTACTTTATACAGACAATTTTTAGGGTTCCGTACCCAAAGGGTAAAAACGGGGACCCTATTACTTAATACTTCGCTGTCCGTCCGTCCGTCTATCACAAAGTTCTATCTTATGAACCGTTATAGCTAGACAGTTGAAATTTTTACAGATAATATATCTATGTTACCGCTATAAGAACAAATACTAAAAACAGAATTAAATAAATGTTTATAAATAAAAAAGTACTTTCACTAAACATTATCTTTTAAGTAAGAATTTTACATAGAATCTTTCGGAAAGTCCCCGGTGGCCGTGTGGTTAAAGCGTTAGGACTTTACGCTGCTATGACGTATCAGCCGTAGTAAGGCAGGTTCGAATCCTAGTCAAGGCGACTTTTTTTAATCGTTTTTAATTTTTACATATTTTTACATATTTATTTTTACTTTTTACATATTTATTATTGATTAATACAATTTTTAGTAATGTGTTTCTTCATTTTTTTTTAAATTATCTACTTATACGCGCATTCAAAATTTCAGCTATATAGGAAAAAAAGTTTACAATTATATAGTGTCTATAGATGTATATACATATGTGTCTATAGCTAATATTGTATAGATAATGAATGGTACGGAACCCTTCGTGCGTCAGTCTCGACACACACAAAATATCTGCTGAGAAATATTGCGAAACAGTTTCGTCACATTTTTGATACATATGTTTCGTAACATAAATCGCTTTTTGTTTCGAAACATTTTACCAAATATCGTTTCGCTATCATAAGCTATAACTATAAAGATCTTAGTGTTTTACAAATTTTTCGAAACTTTTATGAAACAGATGTGGCTCACATTTACAGATTTCATACCCGTTTTGTAACACCCGTCCATAATTTATTTGATATTCTGTCAAATATGAGAACATAACCTTACTTTAATTGTTTTGATTTTGTTCTGCAGTTTTTGCATTTAAGCATTCTTTAAGTTTATGGTTCTATAATTAAAAAAAAAACAGAAGGAAGGACATTGTATGGTGAGTACAAATACAGATAATTTTCTTAAGGTATTTTATAATTATTTATTATACGCATGCCGAGATGATTTGTTTTAGGGATGTAATAGCAGCCACTACCCATACCCAACAGGAGACCGAAGAAAAATATTATCAGCAAACCATTTTTTTTTCTTTTTTCCACAGCGGAATACATGTTTTTATGTTTTAATTGTGTTATAATAAGTAAATAAAAATATTTAATTATTTTTACCACAAGTTTTGATTGGCTTTGTTGACAGGTGACTAGAATTTCTACACAGATAGAGCTAAATCGAAACATTTTGGAAACAAGATTTCCATTTATTGTCGATTCATTTTAGAAATACGAGTTTCTCTCTTTCTAGGCGCAAATATGATATTATAACGTAGATGATTTGTGATCAACTCCAATGTCAACTTTATAAAATAATGAATTAAAATTCCGCAATGTTGGCTAGTGATTGAGTAGTTGGCGATTTTAACTAAAATATATATGTTTTTATCGGCTGTTAAGCTTTTAAACTCATAAGAACGCGTTCTGCTTACATTGATTTATATATTTTTATTTTCAGAACCATGATATAGAAATAAAAATAAAAATCTATATTTAAAAAAAAATATTTTGTAGCAACATGCAACAAATAATGATATTAGAAAGATATTGAAAGGGCATTAAAAATATGAAAGTACTTGCCAGTATTTAAAGACAATAACTTACCTGTGAAAATAAATGAGGATGTCAGCTCTGTCGCTATCCACCTCCGCGAATGTCAATTTTGAGTGTTTGGACCAGACGTCCAAAGCTTTGGAGATGACATATCTGACATCGTAGCTGCGGAGATTTTGGTCTTGGAACTGCGTAGTTCTCAAACTGAAACAAACAAGACAATTAAACAATTATAGAGATATGTTTCTGTGAAAAGATAGATATCATATATGCATATATTATGCATCAAGTTACAAGAACACTTTTTTAATAATATCTTTTTGGGAAAAATGCACTCTTCATAACAGTTCTAAAATGTAATGTAATAATCCCTATAGTTTTCCAAATTTCCATACCGTAAATTTAAAACAATTGAAAATATAGTTGATTTTTTCCTGTCCCCATTTACTACTTATTGATTATTGAAATAGTTGGTGGTTATTATTAATTTATATTAACTATTTTTTAATATTTTAGTTGTAGTCGTCAGGTACCCTTTGTATTACGGCCCCTGCCCTTTCGCCAGCTCTGATATTATTAGAAACCACCATAGAAACGCGTTTTGATTTTTGGAAGTTCAACTATATTTTTGTATTTTTCTCTAAAGCGATATGGAAATTTAAAAAAGTGTAAATGAGATTAACCATTTTAGAACAAGCAAGAACTTTCATGAATAATACATTTATCTCAAAAAGTGAACAGGTAATAAAAAAGTTACTCATCTTGTAAAGACAATCCGGAGACATACTGTATAGTTATTCTCCCTTCCGGCAAGTTACATTTTACATAATAAGATCCCATACAGCACGTCCAAATCAAATTACGTTTCTACAAGGGAGACACATGAAAAACTAAATATGTTAAAGTGAACCTAAGTGTTCATCTAGTTCTAACATATACATATGAGATACACGCAGGTTTATATTGATAGAATTGTGTGATACAGTGTTTACTAGTTGTATACCGTGTGCACACAAGATTCTAAAAAGTTTTTTTAACGTAACAAATAATTATTAAAATGGTGAAATCTGACGTCGGTATATGAGACATACAATGTATAAGTCATATGTATGTGTGATACTTCGTATTATAGTTGTGCTTATAGTACACACCTTGTAAAAATGTGACGTATACACATAATATAAATATCTATATAGACAATTTGTAATAGTGTACTGTTGTGTCTACATTCTAGCATGAAATGAAGATGTGCGCACGCGCGGATAGCCTCAGCGTAATACACCGACTAAGTGTATCTTATGTGTCCTCTCTCCTTTCTCCTTTCTAGGAGTGGTATGTGTTAGCAGCCATTATTGTTTTATCATTCGGAAGCTCTATATAAATGTTCTGTTTATGTGTAGTTTAAAAGAGATTTTAAGGTAAGCACAAGTTTTTAATTACCTTGTTACACTTTTCTAAGAGTATTATTAATATTATAGCAGCGACTCTTCCCTTTCTCGATACCTAATTTACCAAATTTTGACTCCAATGAATGAAAACTCCAAATATTCTCGAATAATGATAAAGAGGTTAGCTCTGCAATATATTTTTTTTAATTTGAAAATAATAAGAATCTAAATGGACCAGAGAAAGAAAGATTTAAACACTTCAAAGAACTTCTTACACTGATATTCGGTAAGTTATTGATGGATCAATATACAGTTATGTTTAATATTCAATAATCAGTTTCATATAAAATTTAAGGGTGAGATTGTTAATCTGGAAATAAAATACAACAATGTCCAACAGAGTGCTCGATGAATGAGTATGCTAACAAACCAACTGCTTGGAAGGAAAAGAGGAGAAAAAATGACGAGGAGAAATAAACGATGTCCACCAAATCGTGGCGATATACCTGTGTTTACCATTTTAGTATGTTGTTATACTATAGGAACTTATATTTTTAATACATTTTGATACAAATTCTGTTCTTTTACAGTGTTTTCTTTTGGAAAATACAAAGTTTTGCCTTCCTAATTTTCGTTCTAAAAAGATATAATTGGGATCATTGAATAAATAATGCTTAAAAAGAACGAAAAGTTAGGCATCAAAACATGTTTTATTTCCTAAATTCGTTCATAAGAAGTAGTTTTATCTAGCACAAGATGTATATACGAAGCAAAATACATACGTATACACGCGGTAGTCACAACTGCAATGTGTAAACAGAGTTTAAACGTAATACACAAGCACTATGTATCCTACGGCACACTCTGTATCCCTTACTTTATGTATACGTAAATGCTATACTGTGGCTACATGGTGAGGCGGACGTTTACCTTTGTGCATACGTGTTGAACTACAATGTGGAAACGTAGCATATTTACATCGGGGGAATTGTGTCACCCTGTGTCTGCATCTAATAATGTATACACATCGTAAATGTGATTTGATGTGCTGTATGTGATATATTTGATATCAATTAAACTTTGAGTTACGTAATCGAGGGCGCGATTTTTAAATTCATTGTTGCCAACACGGACATATTCGATGACGTACTGACTAACTGGAATTTAAATTTCGCGCTGGGGATTCAAGTGGTAGCTCTGTAAAAAATGTCAAGTTCCTGATATTGTAATTCGTTTTGACACTTTAGTTTTGTATTACGAGATTTTGGTTTAAATAAATAGTGTTGTGATACTTTAAGCTTAAAAATGTTTACTAGCAGACCTTGCAGTCGAACATTGTTCTTTTTAGAACCTCTTTTTGTGCGAAGTGTACAAGATAGCTTAATAGCCGTAAAACACTCATCGCAACTTTATTAGACTATTTTGAACGGAAAAGCGGTAGTAATAATCCTTTATGTCCCTTAAGTGCTGTTAAGAAGGTGAGTTTTGTTGATGTAAATAATAACTATTTATATTTTTATAATTAATTTATTTTTGTTTCCTAAAATATTTTGATCAAAAGAAAATATGCAAAAGTGGGCATCGCTGTGCCGTTCAAGCTTAATCACGTGACTAAAAATTTATTTGGTATGAACTGTAAGTAATTATCTAGGCGGGATTACAAATTTAATGTAAAAGACGACAATGGTCGCCGGCTGGTACTGAATTGTCTGTGATTTTATATCGCTGATTCATCTAAAGTATTTACATAATGTTATTCACCAACAAAAAATCTTATTGAAAAAATGTTTTCATTGTCACTAGCAAATTGTTCTATTATGCTTTAGAAAATTGATGCGGGATCATCCCTCGTTCATAATAAAAGGCTCCTTCCCGTAATAAAACTAGCGACAGCCTGATTCAGGGGTGGAACACGCCGAATACGGGTCTCGCGTTGCCGTCTAGTCTCGCTGCGACATCGCACCAACGTATATCGCTCATTAAGTTCCGTATTATTATTTATTTATCATTTAATTGGATTGAAAACTTGGGCGTCATGCGAACACTTTATTAAACTCCGGCTCTATCGAACTAAATTCACATCGGGATCGTTTAACTAGAAGTTAAATTAACTCGGGCTGTGTCAGTTAATACAATTGATAGGCTACCAGCCCCCATATTTCGTAATTGAATCAAAATGTTTCTCTCTTAGCGAGATTGGGTTGTTGGAAAATAGACTACTATTGCCAAGTATTTAGGCGTGTAGTAATCGTTAAATTTTTACAATCGAGATTTATTATGGTAAACCTTTCGATAAATTGTGTTCAATTTTTGAGAGACTTTTTAGTATTTTAAGTTTATGGTATATGGCGATATGCTTGGAAGTATTAACTTTACTAACTAATTAAATTTAAAATTTTTTAAGAATTACTAATTGAGGACAAAAGTTAATCAGAAAATAAGAGTAAATGGTAAACTTGTAAATAGTTGATTTTTGAGTTTGCAACTTTCCCTCTTCAACAGCAATATTCTCATGTATGATGAGTTATAGCTGGTAGACAACTTTAAAGCAGCCAACAACAGACTTCGAATAAACCTACGCCAACTGAAGGATAACTGGTGGTCTCAAAAAAGCATCGCGACTATCGTTAATTATTCGAGGCTGTAGAAGAAGTATAAGACCCAACCAAGAAGGTAAGCTGTCCAATCATAGAACAAAATGGCGAACTTCTAAGAGAGGAAGAGCAAATTAGAAACCGCTGGAAAGAGCATTACAGCCATATCCTTATCTACAAAATAAAATAGTTATATTTTTTATAAACACTTCTGCGTTCAACCTAAACGGACGCTGCTTGTCAGAAGTTATGTTTACAGAAATACAAATTTGCCTAACAAAGAAAAAAATGCTTAACGTTTCGGAAAGTTATCTGTTTCCGTCATCGGAAGCAAAAAAAATACAAAGAATAAAGAAAAAAACTATTTAAAATATTTAAATTCAACTATTCGAGAACACTTTACTTTTTAAAACAGATACGTCTACAATAAACCTAAATGACATTATATCAAGTTAAACTTCAAAATTAACAATTACTACCTGATAACAATTACTTAATAAGGTAAAACCAAAAAGCTTCAAACTTTCTGTATAATTATTTTTAAATTTTACGTATGTTATGTTTATTTATGTTATGTTCTTTAAAATTAAAGAAGCGATTGCCATACATTACTAACATCTACAGATGCATGAGCAATACATTGTTTTTTTTTTTTGCTTCCGGCGACGGAAGGAGATAACTTTCCAAAACGTTAAGCATTTTTTTCTTTGTTAGGCACATTTGTATTACTGTAAACATAACTTCTGACAAGCAGCGTCCGTTTAGGTTCAACGCAGAAGTGTTTACAAAAAATAACCATTTTATTTTGTAGATTTTCTTGCAGTGCAGTGGCGAAATACCCATAAAGGATTTTTTTGGAGAAATACCTCAGTATAACAGTCTCGATGTATTAGATATCCCAATAACACAACAGGAAATAAAAGCCTCCATAAAACAGAAAAACAACAAATCAGCTGGCTGTGACGTGATTTCGGTGGAAATCTATAAGTCTGCATGTAAAGATTGGTCATTTTAAGGCTCTTCGTGTCATAGCGGAGAGGTACCTCAGGACTTTGCAACTAATTTGAGGAATTTCACTACTGGCTATCGGAGGACATATTCTTACAAAAATTATGTCAAACCGCCTGCACCCACATATAGAATGCAGGCCAGGCATACGAGGTTTTGGGCCTTAAGCTGAACATCGACAAAACTAAAATCATGTGCACTCTTCCAGAAGATC